GAAAGAGAAAGCAAGCCACCAAGCCTGGGACTTGAACCGTAGTCAGCCATGTAGGAGTCCAGTGCCTTTTACCACCACGCCACCTGCTGTCCCCTATACCATGCTTTCTTTCTTTTTTTATTTTTTGAGAGGTTTTTTCAATAGGGCGCGTGCGCTCGCCAGAAAGACAGAAAGAGACAGAGAGACAGAAAGCGAGAAATCACCCCCCGGGGGTATGGCCATGCCCCAATCCCTTCTCCTCCATTCTCCTCTCGGAATCTTGGGCACGCACACACACATGCCCAACATGAGTTTAAGCCACTGGGTCCAGAATTCGAACCACGGTCAACTACATGGGAGTTCAGCAATGTAGCCATTACTCCAAATGCTGGTCCCCAATATATTATGCTTTCTTCATCCCTCATCTACTTATGGGCTTGTAGTTGCTTCCATCTTTTGGCTATTGAAGTTGCTGCTACTATTTTTTTTAATTAATTTTAGTTATTATGCAATTTTTTCCCTTTTTTTAGAATTGTTTTAATTTAAATTTATTTATTTATTTACTTTAATTTGACCAGAGAGGGACAGAGCAAGAATGAGAGAGAGAGAGAGAGAGAGAGAGAGAGAGCAAGAAAGAGAGAAAGAGAAAGTGAAAGAGAAAAAGCAAGCCACCAGGTCTGGGACTAGAACCATGCTTGGCCACATGGGAGTCCAGAGCCCTTAACCACCACGCCACCAGCCAGCCCCTATTGCTATTATTTTAAGACTTTGCTACAGGGCACATGCACTCACTAGAGAGAGAGAGAGTGTGTGAGCAAGCTGCCAGGTCTGGGATTCAGACCGTGGTCGGCCATGGGGAGTCCAGCCTCTCATTTGCCGCACCACCTGCTGGCCCTGTGGCTACTATTATGGAGGCACCAACGTCTGTTTAAGTCCCTGCTTTTCCTTGAACAACTTCTTTATTTTTGTAATTGCCAGAGGTACATGCATTCACCAGACAGAGACAGTGAGACAGAGAGAGAAAGGGATAGGGAGAAAGCACCCCCCCCGCCCCCATGAGACATAGTCACACTGCAATCCCTTGTCTCCCATTTCTCCATTCCGTCAGGATTGGGCATGCACGCACATGTGCTTGACATGTTTTTCAAGTCTCCAGGCCAGGTTCCAAGCTGTGGTAGGCCATGTGGGATCCAGGTTATAGGGTAGGCCCATCTGTTACACAACTTTATAAAGTTGGCAAAAGTGAATTCACTTGTTGACATGACCCAAAGATATACTATTTTCTAACATATAAACATAAGAAATAGGGCCAACAGAGCCAGTAGGTGATGTGGTAATTGAGGTAGTGGACTCACACATAGCTGACTGTGGTTCGAGTCCCAGGCCTGGTGGCTTGCTTTCTTAAAGATCTTAGAAATCATGTTTAAGGTGACATGCTAAAATATTATTACTGTGGATATTAAATGTATTCGTTCAAATAATGAATCAACTTAGTTGGACACAAATTTATATTTTTATAATCTTAGTTATATGGACAGAAAATGATGTATTTGATGAATTAGAAATGTAGGAAATTCAGATGACCTAGCTTCTTCACAAAAAACAAACCCAGGTCTTATAAAAAACAGAATGTGTATCTGTATTATACTTAACAGAAAGCACAGAGGGTAGCTAATATTTGTGTTTTGTAAACCAAAATGATTAAGCGAGTCAAATTTATCCAAAGATTCACCTTAATTATGTGAACCTGGCTCTTTAAATTTTTTCTGAGCCAGCTAGCAATTTTTATAAGAAAGTTTTTTTTTTAAAGTCTAGCACATTTAAAGAATGAGAATTTTATTTTAATTTCTATTGTTTTAAGGAACATTAGATTTATATAATCATTTATCTCTTTTTTTGAGAGAGAGATTTTTGCTTATAGGGTGTGCATGCTTGCTGGAGAGACAGAGAGAGAGACAGAGAGAAAATGAGAAATCACCCCCGGGGGTATAGCCACACTGCAATCCCTTCTCCTCTGTTCTCCTCTTGGGATTCTGGGCACACGTGCACACGCACCCTGCGTGAGTTTCAAGCTGCCAAATTTGGGACTTGAATCGTGGTTAACCATGTGGGAGTCCAGCACCTTAACTACTACACCACCTGCTGGCCCCTTATTTGTCTCTTCAAATCAATCAACCCAAGACCTCCTTTTTTTTTTTTCTTTTTGGAGAGGTTTTTGCTATAGGGCGCATGCACTCGCCAGAGAGAAAGAGACAGAGAGCTAGAAAGCGAGAAATCACCTCCCAGGGCAGATGGCAATGCCACAATCCCTTCTCCTCCATTCTCCTCTTGGGGTCTTGGGCATGCACGCACACATGCCTGGCATGAGTTTAAGCCACCGGGTCCGGGACTCAAACCGCGATCAACTCCACAGGAGTCCAGTGACATAGCCATTACGCCAACTGCTGGTCCCTAACCCAAGAGCTCCTTTAAGAAACATAGTACTCTAAGTTATTAATACCTTCCAGATGTAGAAAAAATATTTTACACTCACCATAAAAATTAAAGGCCTCTTCGAATTATGAGCGTATAGACACAGACACGCAAGGCGATGTCTGGCTTCATTTCTACAATTCCAGCCACAGACCAAAAGTAAACACAGACACAGGAAAACTTCCCCGTCCAAATCTCAAAGAACTGTCCCGCTTCCCAGCGGGTATAAAATTCTTAATCAATTTGAGGTCAGAGAAAAACAAAGAACCAAAAGACTAGCAAAGCACATTTTCTTAACAGGCTGTAGGTCCTCCCCCTACACCCCACAGAGATAGCCTCGTAGACCATCAGATTAGATTCCTCATTGCTGCTGCTGCCGAGGGGACATACCCTGTCAGTCACTTGCCACCAAGAACAAACACAGACTCAGCAAGGAGGAAGAAACAAACTCGAGCAGTCGAGAATCGGCAGACTCAAGGTTCTGTGACCTGTGGGATCCCTCCAAGTGCCAAGAAGCCCCTGGGCTCAAAGAGTCCGGGAGGAGCCCCTGTCATAGTTTCCTCAGCTCTGAGCCGTCTCCATGAACTCTCCACAACTGTCAAAGGATAATTTTCAGAAAGATACATCATGACCTGCAGGCAAATATAACCAAACTCAGACGGAAGATTTTATTGAATTCGTTGAATAATGACAGATGTTATGAATGGGTCAAGGGACATTTGAAAAGCTAGGCAACTTAACAAGGAAATGTTAGCATCAGGTTGCTGAGGACTACTCTGCATTGGGATCCCAATCCTACACGGCCCGCAGCTGTTCAAATCCTGGCCCTGGTGGCTCAAAAAGTATGTGTGTGTGCCCCAAGTCCTGACAGGATGGAATGGAGGAGGAAGAATTGTGGTGTGGCCACGCCTCATTGGGGAGTGCTTTCTCTTGCATTTGGCAAGTGCATGTACACATGGGCAATGAAAAAACATCAGATGGTGGAGTTGGACGTTAAAAAGCTGGTAAGTATCCAGCAGGTCATTAATCTTTGGAGTTACCTGCTCTGGCTGACAAAAAATAATTTATAGCTCTCCTGGACAAAATCTACAACACGTGACATCATTAAGTCTGAGTGTCATGAGATGAACCAAGGACACTATTATGAACCCAAAGGTATTGGGTGGCTTCTGTCCCCATATCACGCCGAAGGGATGTGCTGTCCACCATTCATTCGTTTGTTTGTCTTGTTTTGTTTGCCATAAGGTGTGTGCATTTACCAGAGAGAGGACAGAGAGAGGGAAAGGGAGAAATCACCCCTCGGGGCGATGCCACACCTCCATCCCCTCTCCTCCACCCTCCTCTCAGGATTTTGGGCACACGCACACAAGCACCTGGTGTGATTTTCAAACCGCTGGGACCGAGACTCAAACCGTGGTTGATCATGTGGGAGTTCAGTGCCTTACCCACCATGCCGCCTGCTGGCCTCCAGTTTCAGATCAATTTTGGACACTGATGAACACATTCTGGAAGGATTAGCTGCTGTCCTTTATCAAGGTCCAGAGGGATGGGATTCAGGACAGATACACTTTGATTTGGGAGAAAGGAAAAGGAATGGAAAGCCAGTTCGGGGTCCTGCTGAGAGGGCTGTCTTGGGTGGGACCGAGGAGCCTCAGGGTAGGCCCTGGGTCAGGTACCAGGGAGAAGGTTGAAGACAGACCTCTCTCCTTTTGGGAGGGTGGCTCAGAGCCTCCCATGGCCTTTCCACAGTGACTCAACTCACCCCTTCCTTCTAGGAGGCCAAGTTCAGCTTCCTGGGTGGTAAGGAGGACCCACAGATGATCTTCGACTGGTTGGATGTGGAGCGGAAGGGACTCCTCTCCCTTGAAGAATTTAGCTCTGGACTCCGTACGTCTGGCTGTGGGGGCCTCTGGGGGCTTCCTACACAGCCAGGTGTCCCTCTCTGTGCACCTGGCATGGGGCTAGGCTGGATGGGCAGGGGAGGCAAGCCCTTTCCCAGCCAGGGGCCTTTCAAACAGCACCCCCCAAGAACAGATCAGGGTTCCCTGAGCATCCCCTCCTCTCCAGAGAGGCATCCAAGCTCGTTTTCTGACTCTTACCTTCGCCCCAACGACCAGCTTTCCTTGAGAGAGTGGTCGGACATTTCCATCCATCTTGAGACAACAGGCCTTGTCTCCATCTGAAAAGGGTCACACTCTGGCTTCGGTTCAGGGACGTCCAGGTCTCAGGGAGGAGCAGATGGTGAGATATTTAGGAAGTGAAGGCTTCTCAGACACTGAGCCCCCACTGCTGTGGCGTCCTCACAGAGACCCTCAATGCATGGTTCAGCCTTCAGCGTCTGCAGAGCCACACAGGGTCTGCAGGGCAGCCAAGGCTCCAGGAGTGTAGAGGACAGCAGAGAGGAGGGCCAGGAGCCTGCACTTACAGGCTGTGACCACCCAGAGACGGAGCCGCTGAGCGCGGGGAGGAGTCAGGCCCGGGATTGCAGTGGAGGTACAGAGGAACGCCTGTCCACCTGGCCCGAAGGAATCGTCTTCGCATCTGGATCCACTCATGCCCACCATGCAGGGAACGTCCTAATGCTTGGGCTCCCTCGGGGTCACTTGCCGGATCTTTCAGCCTGGCTTCGATCTCAGGGGCTTTGCATGTTCTGTTCTCTGCCTGGAACGTGCTTCTCTGGAAACTTCCATGGCTTGGTCTTCTAATTATATACACCTTAGTTCCAGTGTCACCTCCAGGGGACACGCCTAACCATCCCAACTAAAATCGATCCTCCTAGTCTCTCGGTGGAAATGCCCTTGTTTATTCCTTTGGCTCACTTGGCAAATTTGCTATTTTTTTTCCATTTTTAAAAAGAAGTGTCCTTTTCAACCCTCCCTGGAATGCCAGCTCCGCCACGACAGAGGTTTGGCTAATTTTGTGACCAGCACGTAGCAGATATTCAATAGATCTCGATTGAACGCATGGAAAGTCTGCTGGCCTCTGTGGGGCTGTGCGTGGCTTCTGGCAAGTCTTTGGGCCTCAGAAGCTCCTCTGCAGAGTGGCCGTGTCTCCCTTCAGTAGACTCCCAGGGTGGATGGGAGGGAGGTAGGGGTGTGGCTCTGTATAAATGGGACCACATTATACAGGTACAATCTCTTCCCCAAGGGCTGCAGGAGGGCAGCGTGAGAGGGTAGGGCCTGGGTCCACCCTGCTCCTTTCTGCTCCTCTGTCTCCCAGAAGACATCTTTGGCTCCAGTCTGAGCTCTCAGAGGCTCCACAGGAAGAAGCCACTGCCCTCTAAGCGGGTGTCTGTGACCACCAGCTTCCCCGCGCTGGAGGAGGCCGAAGCTGAGGAGAAGGAGGAATTCTTCGCCTTCCTGGAGCAGCTGGGGACCAGCCACTTACTTCCTGAGTAAGGCCAGTGGCATGTGCGTGTGTGTGTGTGTGTGTGTGTTGGGGCGGTCTGCCAGCCAGAGGGTGTAAGGGCTCTCCTGGACAGTGACAAGGGCATGGGCTTCTGTACAGAGCTGGATGCAAATCCCTGCTGGGCCGCCTATGAGCTGTGTGACCCCAGGCAAGTAGCCTGACCTGTGACCTCTGCTTCCCAGGCTATGGCCACGAAAAGCCATGGGAGCTATCCTGAGAGTACAACCAGGTGCAGAGGCTGCCTGCTCAGAAGGCCCCCACCCCTGCCCTGTTCTACACAACCCACTCCAGAGGGCTAGCCAGCTGGGCGGGGCGGCGGGTAGGGGGGAGTGGTGCCAGTTCCCCCAGAGGTGCATTCTTAAGACCAGGAGGTTCCCAAGGGGTGCCTTTCTTAATTCAAAAAGAGGTCCCCCGGCGGGTCGACGTCAGGCATGGCGATGCCCTGGACTGCACAGGTGTGGAGACCGTCGAGTGTGTCCTCCAGTCTGTGTCAGGCTCTGGCTTACAGGGTTCATGCATGCTCAGAGAAGGGGTGCCTGCCTGAAAACCTCCCCTCCACATCCCCCAGGTGCCTCAGGGTCTGTTAGAGCCAGCAAGGGAGCCACCTCCAGGATCCGTGACACAGGATCCCTCATGTTAGGCTCGGGGAGGGTGGGGCTAGGCAGGGCGGGACCCAGGGTGGAGGCTGGCAGGGCAAGTGGGGTGGGGAGCCATTTACCCACTTGGCAGCTGGGCCTGGGCTCAGCCCGTTGGCAGCTGTGCTCGTAACTTAATTAAGTCCATGTGAAAGCAGCATTTAAGTGCCAGCTGTGTGCCAGGCCTTGGACTGGTGCTTTCGGGCATCTCTTTTCCCCAATGACCTTGCCAGGCAAGCGCCAGCCTCCTCATTTCACAGATGAACCCAGAGAAGGATAGGACTTGTCAAAGGTCACACAGCCACACGGCAGAAGGGAGAAGGCAGACGGAAGCCCTGGGCCTGCAGGCTCCCACATTGCCCACTCACTATTCATCATGAGCCATCAGGGGACGGAGTGTTATGGGAGTTCAAGAAGAGGAAAGCTTCCTGGAGGAGGTGGCATTGGAGTTGCACCTTGTAGGATGTCAGATTTTTGTGTCCCAGATGCCCAAGTATCTTGGGGTGTTGCCATTAAAACCGAGTAGTGGCTCCCCACTGGTCCCTAGTCTCCGATTGTCCTCCTGTCCCCAGGCAGGCAGAGATCTGGCAGCTGTGGGGAAAGCTGCGGCAGGAGGAGCCTGCACTGGCTGGCAACCTGGAGGGCTTTCTGGCCAAGATGAACAGCCGCCTGCGGGAGGTGCGGGCTGACAAGGAGGCTCTGGAACTGACGTTAAAGAAGTGAGTGTGTGGGGGGCGGTACCTTGCCCCATGTCTGACCGAGGTAGGCGCTTTTTACTTTTGAGTTGAAGGCCAGGTGGTGGCATTAAGGCAGCTGGATCTCACATGGCTGACTGTGGGTTAGAGTCCCGGATTTGAAAAACACGCCAGGCACATGTGCATGTGTGCCCAAAATCCCAAGAGGAGAACTGCGGCCTCTCTCTCTCTCTCTCACACACACACACACACACACACACACACACACACACACTCTGTTTTCTCTGCTTCCAGCAAACACAGGAACCTATAGCAAATTTAAAAATATATATTGAGGGGTGAGAAGGTGGCATGGTGATTAAGGCACTGGATCCCACATGGCTGACTTGGCAGTTTGAGTCCTGGATCCAGCATCTTGAAAAACATTCTGAGCACATGTGTATGCACGCCCAAAACCCTGAAAGAAGAATGGGGAAGAAAGGATTGTGGTATGGCCATCCCCCAGGGGAGTGATTTTCACTTTCCATCTCACTCTGTCTCCCTCTGGTGGTGAGCACATGTGCTCTATAACAAGATTTTTTAAAAAATTGAGTTGAATCTGAATTGAATTCCGCAGCTTTGAAAGGAGCCAGGGACCCGCCGTGGGGCCTGGGGACTGGGTGGGCAGAGCTGAGCTGGAAGAGGAGGCTCATGAGACCTGCTGGGAGGACATATTTGGTCCATTAGCAGGAGCGGGCATGGAAAGCGTGTCTCACCCAACTCCAATGGCACCTCTCACGCAACGCCCATACATGTGGGACCCTGGTGTTGGCAAGGGTCTGAGTTACGGGGCAGGGAGATGGGGCCAGGAATGAGACAATGGCGGCCATGTGACAGGGCCGAAGGAACCGATATCTTTGCAATGGGTACAGGAGTCCATGTGGTGGGGTCTGGGTGACCAATGCCAACATTTGGGCCAGGGGACAGTTACTGGGTTGGCTGTCCTCGGGGTGACAGGGCCAGTGGCTGCCGGCAGGGTGAGGTGAGCAGTGGGATGGACTCCAGCCCCAGGCCCTGTCTCCGACCCCTCCAGGCGTGACTCCGCCCACCATCATGAGGTCCAACAGCTCTACGAGGAGATGGAGCAGCAGATCCGCCGGGAGAAGCAGCAGCTGCAGGCCGAGGTGGGCCTCCACCCCCGTGGATTTCTCTGCTGCTAAGGGAGTGCTGGTGACTGGCCAGCGTAGGGCAGCAGGGGGCCCCCAGCTCTGAGCAGCTCCCCAGGGAGATGCAGCAGGGAGTGCAGAGCTGGGCCCCTTCCCCTCTCTGCCAGGGCTTGCTGTCCCCAGGGCCACAGCCTCAGTCTCCCGTTGTTACAGTCGAGGCCCCAGCCAGGAGCGCTGCCCTGGGAGCCCTCCTCTGTAGGACAGCTGGCCTCTGCTGTCCGGGGTGGGGGTGGAGTAGGGCTGGCTCCTAGAGTCTCCCGAGAGGGCTGAGCCTGTCTGCTCCACAGAGTGAGTCCCGGGACCTGGCCCTCAGCTCCCGGATGCAGGAGGTTCTGGAGGCCAAGGAGCGCGAGGTGCAGCAGCTGGCTGAGGGCCAGAGGGAGGTGAGTGACAAACACGAGGTCTCAACGTGGAGAGGCTTAGTGACTGGGCAGTGATATCCGATTCTGGTCTTCCTTGTCAACTGAGTGACCTTGGGCACTTTTGTTGTTGTCGTTAAATTTAGTTCTCTCTTCCATGAGAGGGCAGGAGATAGAGAGACAGAGAGATAGTACCTCCAGCAGGGTCTCGGTGCCACGATCCATGCCCAACCTCAGCCAGCCCCAGATCAGGGACATGTGCATGCCCAGCACACTCAGGCAGGTCTTTGGACATGAACCCAGAACCTTCCCATGTGGGTCAGCCTGGCAGGGTTGTGTTACCCTGCCCCATCTTCCAGTCCCCTGGGCAGGGTTTTGACATCTCGGCCTCAGCATCCTCATCAGAGAAACAGAAGTCAGAACTCCTGTCTCAGCAGGCTGCCAGGATGATTAGCAACCCTGTACGTGAGGGCCTGCGAGGGTGCTCGGCACCCAGTAGGTGCTTTACACAGCACGGTTGTCCCTGTCTCTGCATCTGTCCCAGCATCCGGCTCAGGGTCAGATGACATCAGGTCTGCTGCCTGATGTCCAGGTCTCGTAGCCTGCGGTCACCTGTGGCTGGCACTGGGGCTCCGTCTTCAGCTCTGAGACCCAGCCCCACCGTCGCTCCCTGCCTCAGCTTGCAGGTCACTGACCTTGGCAAAAATCCCCATTTGCTGTAACCAGGACAAGCAGCACCCCTGCAGCCCAGGACAAGGCCCCCAGCGCCTTCCCCATCATTGCCTCGGCCGGCCCTGTCAGCAGGCCCCCTCTTCCTCATGGCAGATTTCCCAGACGCCTCTGCGGTGGCTCTCCTTGGACATCAAGGCCGGTCTTTCATGCCAGGAGAGGAGACGGAGCTTTCTACAGGAGGCTCTTTGTTCCGTCTCCTGTGAGCACAAAACTGTGCCTCCTTCACTCCACAACTACTTTTCGAGCACCTACTGTGTGCCCAGTGCTGTCCTGGGTTCTGAGGAACATAACAGACACAGGCCCTGCCCATGCGTTACAGCCTTCTCAGGGAGACGGGTGCTAAAACACACGAGCAAGACACATGGGATGTGAGCTACTGCCGGGTGCCGGGGAGGACGAGGAAAGCAGGGAAGCGCGAGAGAAGGGTCCGGGGGAGTGGAAACGATTGGTGAAATGAGTTGATAAGGGGTTCAAGAAAGGCCTCACTGAGATGGTGACCAGGGAGTCAAAACCAGGAAAGGGGAGGGTGAGCCACGCGATGTCTCGGGGAGAGCGTGCCTGCAGGGGCGGGAAGTGCAAAGGCCCTGTGGGGTGAGCTGTGCATGACCGAGAGGAGCAGAAGGACCTGGGGACTGTGGGCAGACAGAGGCAGGGGAGACGGCAGTCAGGGTGTCATGGGGGAGCAAAGGGCTGGGGGAGACCGTGAGGCCTGAAGGCCACTGGGACAGCGTCACTCTCACCCTGAGGGCCCAGCAGTGCCCCGTTGCTGGGTCATGGGATGTGTCATTGAATCCGGAGTGCCCTGCAGACCGGCCGGGGCTCAGCAGCCTTTGCAAGGCTTCGAACAGAGCGGGGTGTGGCCTGGCCGCCATGTGGGCTATGGGGTGCTACCAGTTTGTGTTTCTCACCCCGGCCCCTTCTCCTTCCCACCGTGACATGTCACTGTCTCTCCTGGGTGGGAGGTCACGGGACAGAGTAAGCTGAAGAGGGGTAACTGCCCCCTCCTAATGCTGTGTTTGAAGGTGGGTCCCCAGAAGTCCGGGCAGGGTTATACCCCACGGTGGCCTTGGGAGGCCACTCCCGGCGATGAGACTTCTCTCCTCCTCACCCTGCACACCCGCAGCTGGAGGCCCAGCTCCACCGCCTCAGTAGCACGCGCCAGGAGGCCAGCTCTGAGAACCAGCAGCTGCGGGAGGCTGAGCGCGACCTGGCCGGGAGGCTGGAGGAGGTGCGGGGGCAGCTGCAAGTGACCAAGGGGCACCTCAGTGCCTCTAGGGCCCGAGTGTCCTGGCAGATGGAGGAGGAACCCAGGCAAGTGGCTACCATCCCTGGACTGGGTGGGGACCAGGAGCGTCCTGGAAGGGCAGGGGTATGAGTTCTCTAAGTTGTAGTGAGCAGGCGGTGCTCACGGGCTCTTCCCTGCAAGTGGCAGGTGGGCCAGCCGAGGTTACCATGCCTGCCCAGATAGGGGAACCGAGGTATCCGACAGGCCAAGCCCGCACAGCTAGGTTAGGACACACGTGGGCCAAGTCACGAAGGGGGCTGAATCCCACATGGCCGACTGCGCAGCTCAATCCTGGCCCAGCAGCTTGAAAGCCGTGCCGAGTGCATGTGGGTACAGGTCCCAAATCCCAACAGGATGGAGAGATGAGAAGGGACTGTGGCACGCCCACACCCCACAGGGCCTGCTTTCTCCCTCCCTCTCTGTCTCTCTGGTGAGTGCACACACTGGCAGATTACACACACACACACACACACACACACACACACACAAACACACACACACGGTACCGTGCGGGCCTGGATCCCAGGTAGGCCATTGCTCTACTTGTGACGGCTGGAAGGAGCGGGGTAGGAAGGCCAGAACAGTCAGGGAAGGCTTCCTGGAGGTGAGGCTTCCCAGAGGCCTTGAAGATGAGCAGGATCGGATGAGAAGGAGCAGGGAGCACATGCCAGGAGAGGAGGACTACAAAGGACAGCCAGTTCTGGCTTGCAGCAGACTGCTGTGACACCCTACCCTGCCCATCCCTAACGTGGCTTCTCTGCTTCCCTCTCAGTGTCCCCAAAGCAGGTGAGAAGGCCCCAGACCCTCAGGCTGTTTGCCCCGAAGTGGCGCCCCTGCCTGGGCTGTTTGGGGGCAAAGATGAATGGGAGCCAC